CAATGTTCGATACAGATAGTGCAATCTGCGGATGTCTAACCGGCATCAAAATGCCACTCTAAGTCAGCTCCTCTTACTCGTCACAAATATGCAAGACTCGCCCACCTTTTGCCAAATTCTGATGGAGGGATCCGCCACTTTTTCGTCCTAATCTTGACTTTAAGCTGATGCTTAAAAAACAAGGTCAATTGGGAAGAAGTGAACTTCTTGCCCCCATAGAATCCCCATCGAACATATAACGACTCTCATAACACCTAGCAAGCAAGCAGGGTTCAGCCTTCGACATTGGTAGTACCACATTGCTACAGACAGGACTGGCCTCGAGGACGAAAAATTTCCGTGCATCATGCGAACCATGATGCATTCAACAAATTTGCACAACGGCACTACGACCCTAAAATGAAAGAAGGCGTGACCGAGGGTCTCCACCTCCCCATCGCAGCGAATGTAGTTTGCAGATTTCTCCAAACCCGCTGAAGTTTTTGCCGACCCAGAGTGCCCCACGAATCACCAGTCAGGTGAGTGATGCCTCATTATTAGTGAGGCATTTCAACCCGTGCGCCTACGGCCATATTGAGCGTCCTGCTTCGTAAGACCGAGCTCGTCAATCAGATCTTATCGTATGGATCCCCTAACTAACACCTGATATAATGCCTTTCGGGACAGCGCCTGGACGTTGGAGATGTCATCCGATGTCCGTAAGAGGTGCTTCAGAGCAAGACGATATTGACGATAGAAGGAGAACTCGTCTCGGGGTAAACGGCGGCCTCCTTCTCGCACGAGTGCACACTTCTCCGGTATGGGGACTTCTTACGGGCGTCTTTCTTCCAGAATTCGGCCTCCTCATCTGAATCGCGACATTCGGTCTAGAAACGCGATACGAAGCGTATGTTGACGAGTGTCAATGCTATGCATACCCAGTCCGCCATCAGATGGGTGGTGATAACAGATCTCGCGACATACCTTAGCGGAGTTGCCTCCCCACCACAAGAAGGAGAACAAGAGCCTTACTAATGAAAGTGGAAGCACGGAGAGTTGGTAAAGGAGAATCGGGTAGATGTGCGAAGCACATACTTCCCCGCTCCCATTTTAGGAAAAATTCCTCAGGGACCACAGACGAACTCCGGCTTCGGCTTTCCTCTGCACCTCTAACCAATTCATTTCCAACAAAAGATAGGGACCGAACCAGACACCAAATATCGTGACCGGCCCATCCGTCTAGAGGAAAGGTCCGGAAAGAGAAACTCCCTTCCACGCACCCAACTGCAAGCCAACAGGCTTATCGCGGTTGATCTTGGCCCATGTCACCGTTTCATACCCTCTGATTTCTTTGCAGGCTTCGTCAATCTCGGCTCTGCTCGACACAAGAACCGAAACGTCATCAGCATAGGCCGAATACCTGGTCGAGGTGGTAGCACCAGACAGGGAAATTCCGCGTAGGACCGGATTCGTCTTTAACTTGCGAAGGAAAGGTTCCAACGCAAGAACGTAAAGCAAAGGCGAAAGCGAACAACCATTGAATACGAAAGGCTCCGATCGAACCTCCTTCGCTTCCACCAACGCACCGGAAGACGAATACATAAGTCGAATTGAGGTACGAAAATATGTCCCAAAGCCGATCGCCGAAAAGGACAGCCTCTAGAAATCGTGGTCCACCCCATCTAAAGCCTTGGATGATCCAAATTGATCAGCACGGCTTCACTATCGACTTGCTCGATGATCAAGTGTACCATATAAAGGTTGTCGTGAATAATCCTGCCCTTCACGGCACAAGTCTGTTCGGAGCCAATCAGGCTAGACAGGACAACCTACAAACGGTTGCCTAAGACCTTGGCTAAAATCTTTAACTCTGTATTTAACATCGTTAAAGGCCGAAAGTTATCTATCCCATCCCCAACGTTTTTGTGCTTGCGAAGTAACTTGGTTACACCCCTGGTGAAGCGTTGAGATATAAACCCGTGCTTCAACCAGTTGTTGGAAATCAGTGCCAGCAAAGGGACGAAAACGGGCGACTACCTCGATTACACTTCGTAGTGTAGACCATCTAATCCCGGAGATTTATCCAGGCCAACCTGCTTCAGCGCTTCCCAGATTTCCAACTCGCACCCAGCTGCCTCCAGATAGGAAAAGTTGGCTAAATAGGCGTCGAACTTAGCAGCACTCAGACCAGGGTCCCTGTTGAACAGATCCTGAAAGTAATCACGAACAGCCTCAATATGCCCGCGTTTGTAGTCACGGTCCGATTATTTGACTCGATCAACCGAAACAAATCAGGCCGCTCTGCATGGTCATTGGGCGCATGAACCCCAATGAGACAAAGAGCCTTATCCTTTATAGCCTGCCCGCCGGATCTGTGAAGACAAGAGCACACGCTGCGTTCAATGACTTGGTTACTAGCAAGGAAACTCCTCTTGAGCAACTATCGAAACATGCTGAATAGAGGAAAATGCCCCAAGACAGAATGTCCTCATGATCACGAGTTGAAAAACTCTGACCTCAGGCCCCGGGCATTCACACTAGCTAATCAGAGAGGCATTATCAGACCGATTAGGATTGCTCTTCTGCACTGAACATGACCGGGTGAGGACACCGACGGCCTGTCCCACTGATCCTGTTTCCATCTCAGTATAATGATGGTACTATCATGAGACAGATCACCAATGTCCCAGGGAAATGTTACTTTTATGGTTCTATAAAGATATTGTGAACAAAAGGCGCGAACCTTCCAGAGCAAAATTGTTTTAATTTTTACGAATTGGAATTATTAAAGAAAGCTAAAGGGGGAAAATCCCCCAAACACACTGTTGACTTCGTCAACCATGTCCCAAATTTGTTGTCCTACTTGACCCGGTCGTACGACTATTAAAAGTCTTTCGGCATTAGGGAAATCCCTCGATTACTGGAGATCAAGACGATTTAAAGATTTAAAGTTGATGAGGAATTTAAAATCTTTAATCTTTCTGCATTGCGATAATGCCTTCTCCTCCTGATCTTTAGGAACCCGGCACATGCCTTCCCCTGTGTTAAAAATGGGTTTAAGCTTTTTCTTGTGTGTTGCTTCTGTCGACTCAGATGATGGAATTCTTTGTTGTTTAGAATTATTGGACATTTTAGGTGTACCGGTAGGTGTTCGGACAAGGGATGTTATAAGGGCATTGGGGGTACTGGAAGAGGTGGGATGGTCCTTGAATGATGATTTTGGAATGGGGGCCTTTTTTAGGGTTGTCATTTTAGAAGGAGTGGGAGATAGGGATCTCGGAACTGAAGGAGGAGCACTGAAATGTTTTGTAGATGGGGAAGACAGTGCCGAGCAAGAAGGACCAGATTTTGTGGGGAGACTTTTCTTCCTAAATTTTTCCTTCCATTTTTGCAGCTTCTCCGCTTTCTCGAATGATGGATCATACTTTAATTTCTCTTGCCGAAGTCGATCAGAGTAGCTAGTAGGGAAGTCGACCTTGGAAGTAATAAAGGGAATGTGACTATCTGTCTTTACCTATAGGGGCTTCTGTGGGATGAGGTCCCGCTGCCCGGAGCTTCCATTTAGCCTTACCAACGACCTGCCATTCCCCCTTTCTTCTCCGCAACCGCACAAGCGCGGGTAAAGGCTTTTCGGGGAATGGGGAGTGAGACGGACACAACCGGGGGTTTCGCCACACCAGTCCCGGTTGCTGGCATGCCCATTACAGGCGAAACGGCAACAACAGACTCGACCAGAAAGGTATTTGATTCGGCCGGAGCCAGAAGTTCAGAGGCCTTCTTCTCTGGGCAGGAAAAAGAGAGTTAATGACTCTTTTCTGTTTAACCCCCAGGGACGTCAACGATTTTATGACGGTGTCTTTTGTGGAGCGGCAAATTTTGCGCGAACGCTTGTTCACCACAAAGACTGACATAATTCTTCTTTCAACTTTCTGTACTTCCACGGGGTTTGTGAAGAGCTCATCTTCTAACGATTACACCAAAATGGCCAACTCTACACGATTTTTTTTAAAAAAAAGCAGGTCTTGCGAAAAAATTAAGGAAACTACAAATAAATCAACGGAAAAATAGACAGGAAAGTAAAACATAGAAGTTATGAGGACTATTTAAACAGATAAACGAGGTATCATGTAAAATTACAAAAAGATTAACAAAAGTTATTAGAAGGATGTGCTGAAATTAATGTCGGTCAGGGAATACAGAAAAAATAATTTCTATATAACTAGAAAAAATAAAGTAAATCAAGAAACCTAATAAAAAAATAGGCGCAAAACAAAGATTAAATAAGATGTTGGGGAGGGTGAAAGAAAAACTGAAAAGGAAAAATAAAAAAAATTTAGTCAACAAAAAGTAACTTAAGAAAATTAAATTTTTAAACTTAATACAAACTCCAAAGTCCAAAAGAAAAAATTCAAAATTGGAATAGCAAAAATGAAGTCCGACGCTAAGCACTTGTCAAAATGGTCGGTGATCAGAACAAACTTTCATTTAACCCCGTTCAACGTAAAAACCGCAAGATTTATTGTATATAACACAATTTTGGCACAGGGCTGAAAATCGCAGGGGTGGTGAATGCTTGAGGCTGGTCTTCACTTACTATCTTATACCTAGCTAATCCGATTCACGACCCATTCTCTCGTTACAATTTGCACATTCACCACAAGTACTCATCCATCATCATTCAATCATCCATATACCACAATACCGCATACTCTTTTGGAAACCTACAAAAAACAATCCATGGCATAAAAATTTAATGAACATAAAATTATATATATATATAAATATGTAGATTATATACAATGAGCGAGGAAGAGATGAACCCAAAAACAAACTAAAATATCAAAACAAATAAATATAACTGATATTAGTTGGACCCGTCAAGCCCTCGAAAGAATTAAGAGAATCCGCTGTATTCTGCCTTTAGACAAAATCAAGAGGCTCTCTCGCTAAGGGAGATGGAAAAGGATAAAATAAATACGGCCATAAGGGAAAGAAGAAAGCTGGCCCAGTCGAGATGAAAAAGGGGGAACAAAAAACTAACTCGGGAGGTTGGGAATCTCGATTTGGAGCATAACCAAAGAAGACGCCGGGACACTTACATTAACTAGGTACACAAAAAATTGTCTATCCTCGCCAGGAAAGGTCTCCATAGGAAAAACCACGCCGATGTGATTTGGGGTGGGGTGGGGTCTTAAAAAAGAAAATCAAAGCCAATCTTTGCCCGTACTTCTGATAAATTTTTCTCTAGCTGGAGGTCGGGTCCAAACCATACTCCGAGAATGCGGACAGGACCGCCCGTCCAACCAAAGGGCCCCGGAAGATCGACCCCCTTCAAGGCACCTAACCGCAATTCGCAAGACTTGGCGGGGTTAATCTTAGACCGTGATCTTTCCGTACCGTTCAAGCGCCTCATTGTCACTTCGGGACGACACAAAAGTAGACAGGTCATCAGTGTACCCGGAAACCCTAGTTCGGGCCCCACCAGAGACAGCGATTCCACGTAGGACCGTACTGCATGCCCTGTCCCTTAGCCGGCGAAAGAGAGGCTCCACCGAGTCGACTGAAAGAGCGTAAAAGCGTCCGACCGCCTTCCGTTCACGTACCAGAGCACTGGAGGAGTGATTTAGAAGGCTAATCCACCGGCAGAAGTCGGGTTCGAATCCGGCGACATACAGGACAGCAGCCAGGTAGCGATGGTTAATCCTATCAAATGCTTTGGAGTGATCGAAATTGATCAGCGCGACGTGATTGCCGTCTTTTACACTCAAGGATCGAGCAGATTAGATGCAGGTTGCTCTGACTTGTCCGGCCCTTTACAGCGCAAGTCTGCTCGGGCCCCCAACAAGGGGCCCGAGCAGACTTGCCGCAGACTTGCCGCAGACTTGCCGCAGACTCGGCAACTGACTGCAAACGCTCCGTCAGGATCTTTAACTCTTTGTTTAGCAGAGTTATGGGTCTGTAGTCGTCTAAATCCTGCCCAACACACTTGCCCTTTTTCAACAGCGTGACCACATCCCTGGGGATCCGGTCGGGGACGGACCCCTGTCGGAACCAATTGTTGAACACGACAGTCAAAATCGGGTCAAAGATATAGGGACAGCCTTAAGTGCAAACCATTCAAACTCGGTGACTTGCTTCTATCGACCTTCTTCAATGCTGCGTAAACTACGCCCTCCGTGATCTCACTCTCGCGGCTAGCCCTTCAGTCGACGAAAACCGAGGAAAGTCAACAAACTAGCTCCGAAACTTTTATTCACAGAGACCAGGATCCTTCGTAAATCGGCTCTCGAAATGCCACCGAAACGCCTCACACATGCCGTCAGTCGCTCAGAGTACGCCCCTCCGAGGTTTTGACCTCTCGAATGTAACGACCGGAAATTCGGCGGATCTCTTCCTTGCGCAATTCTGCACCCATGTTCATAGCTTCGGAAGACATCTGGCTTAACTTATGTCTAAGTACCTGACCCATGTAGCGCTTCCTAGCCAAACGCTCCAGAGCCTCCCTACCTAGGACTATCTCTGATCCCCACCAGCTTCTCTGAGAAAGTATATCCTTGAGAGCATTGAACTTTCAGTATCTAGCCATTCTAGGCCTAAAATCTAATCTAGTCGAACTGTATAACGCATACTGAATCAGACCGGTGTTTTTTCTACAAAGGGTTACACAAGTTCGAACCCTGTCGGGGAACATATTGTCTTATATTAAGTCTCTCGAATGCGCGCGCCGGTAGGCGTAAACAAACATTGCGTCTACTCAAGCATGAATATCTACAAAATAAAGTTTAAAGTAATAGATAGTAGTGTTTGTTTAGATAGATTTCTTACCAAAAGTCTTTGGGTGTTCCAAGCCAAGATATGGGAATAAGAACTCCTCCGAATATGAGAATGGCATCACAGATGGAGATGTTGGCCCCAAGACGAATAACCAAGCGACTAAAAATATTTCCAGTCAACAAGAGGAATACAACGCAGCCACCAAACAATGTGAAGATGATGCAGAACGACACTAAAATTCTGTGAGAAAAAAAAGAGAAAAGAAAAAATGGAAATCAACTTCATCAATTCAGTTGGTTAGTACTTATATGTACATCTGAAAAGAAATCGAAACTAACCAATAATAATGTTATGTAAAAATGACGGGATTATTTACTTGTATATAAATTGTAAAATACAGACGCATACGCATACATACATATGCACACATATATGCACAGATAGATAGATAGATAGATAGATAGATAGATAGATAGATATGAACAAACTTAATGAACAGACTAAGATAGATAGATAGATAGATAGATAGATAGATAGATAAAAAAAACAGGAAAATTTCACTGGAAACAACGGTCTATTTCATCCTTGAACGCAATCTTCGGGCCATGTGTGTGTGTGTGTGTGTGTGTGTGTGTGTGTGTGTGTGTGTGTGTGTGTGTGTGTGTGTGTGTGTGTGTGCGATACTACAAATATTTGTTTATACTCTATTAGTAATGTGGATATTGCAAGCATTAAACTGTTTTCTTCTACATGATGTTTCTCTCCAAAACGTTGGTGATCCTGCCCCAACTACCTCCTATTCTTTTTAGCTCTTAGCAACTTTTGTCTATTTTCTATCACTCTCAATCTACCCCAGCACCCCCGTGTTCTGGCATCCATTCACACAAATTTGTCAGGTAGATAGCCCGCTGCCTTCCCTGTCACTTTTGTCTCCGATATGTCCAGTGAGTGTCAAATTCTCTGAAGCATCCTTCCTCATTTCAAGCTGTCTCTTTCTAATTCTAAGTGGAAGTGTCCATTTTATTTCCCTTTTTCTTAAAACATTTTGTTGCTTACATGTTCTGCCTATGGTATTTTCAACATCCTTCTGTAGAACCACAATTGAGCACTTTTTTCTTTGTTTCTAACGACATTTTCCTGGTTCTTAGTAATTTGCTTAGCTTTTAGTATGTATCTTTGACTATTCCAATGCGCTTTGTATGCCTGCTCAATTCATTTTCTATCCGGAGGCTGGCGATTTCTTCCTAATATTAATTCTTGATTACTCTAACATTCTTCCCAAATAGATTGAGTTTTCCTAACAGTTCAAATAGATCTTTGTGTCGTACCTTAACAAATGTTTTTGCGTAATCTTTAAAACATAAGTGTTCATCTTTCTGCATTTGCATTTCTCCCTCCCATATAATTCTAATAACAAATATAGCATTTCTTTCTCTAGCGTCCTAGACAAAACCGCACTGTTCTTGTCCTATTTCCAGTCTAATTCTGCTTTGTGCCCTATTCATTAGAATTCGGATTATTAGGTTGATTATGTGACTCATTAAGGCGATTGTCTAATAAACATCACATTCATTTACACCCAGTTTCTTGGGTAACGCCACGTACGAAATTAAGCAATTTCCTCTTATATAAAACTTTTCTCCCTCTAAGTATATTTCTGGTAACTAGAATCACCAACTCAGCACCAGATATGTTTATTTGTTTGAACATATATTTACACGTAATAATTCTTTTCTTATCTGTCTATATCTGAGATGAGGTATTATAATTATTTACATTATTCGGACTGTTATCCTCATCTTCATTGCCATATTCCCAACGTTTCGGCCGTTGTACGTTCCGGCCTTCTTAAGGTGATTGGAATTTCGAACCGAACCCTTTATTACATCCACCGAAATAGTGGATAAAGACGTTAGATCCAGTGACTAGATCCAAAGAGTTGTGAGTTCTATACCAGGCTACAGCAGTGGTTAACCAAAAACTTGGAGAGATGAGTTAAAGGGAAATGACTGAGACATCTAGAAGAAGCATGGCACGGAGAACTAGAACAACCTACCCCGGTGGACGCAAATAAGGGGTTCGGTTCGAAACGTTGTGAATATGGCAATGAAGATGAGGATAACAGTCCGAATAATGTAAATAATATAAATAAATTATTTTCTTATAACTATATTACAGAGTAATAAATGTAAGATTGGATGCGCGGGTGGTGTAATGGATAACGGTTCGTAATTGGACATCGGAGAGGCGAGTTCGAATCCCACTTGGGAACATTACATAACTTGCTTCCAAATACCCTTGGAAAAGATAGGAATTCACCTTTCCTCTCCTCCTAGATATAGGTTACTTAGTAAGACTTGTATCAGTCAATCATTATCTCCAAAAAATATAATGTAAAAATATTTTCTTGGTTTAAATAACCGGCAAAAGGTTGATAAGCCGTAAAAGACAAATCAGTCAAACTAGATGAAAAAAATTTCTTAATAGCAAAAATTTTAAACGAATTATTCCACATGGTCAGTTATGACTTGGCTTTTTCGAACTTCTAGACTTCCTACGAATTTGAATTATTCTCTCAGGAATATTGTGAAAAGGAAACTCCACAAATTCGCGAAACAGTAGATAAGAAACTGAAAACTATTTGCAACGAGAGAAAATACAAAACAAGATCGGTTTAATATGAAAATCTATACGTGTATTTTTTTCTTTGTTTTTTAATTCACTCTCTTGCATACTCTTCATTAGGCGGGGGTATTTCTGGTTGGTCTCATCTCGTCTGGCCGATGGTCTCTGGTCGTCGTTTTTAGTTTAGTCCTCTTCTTCTCTTGATCGGTGTCACGAAATGTTCCTTGGGTTCAGAGATAAAAAGCATCAACAAAGAGAACTTTTAACTTAATTATTATTTTATTAACCACATCGACGGATGCATCTTCCCAAGTGGGGGTTACTACACCCCCTATTAGGGAGCCGCTTTCAACACGAAATCTCACACGTCCATTTTCTTTGATGTGTAACAATCAACTCTCGAAAGACCCTTCTCCACTGGGAGAAAGGGGTTTGTACAAACGCAAACTGACACGCCTAGTTCGCTCGACGTCCTAACAGCAACTCCCCGAAAAGCCTTAATCTATAACTCATTCCCACGTTCGGCTCAGCCAATCAAAATCGACATCCCTATTTTGTCTACCATCTGACTTCAAAGGTCAGCCTCAGAAGATCTGAGCCAAAATACACTGCGACTAAAAAATAATTGTCTGAAGCTATTATTTAACAACTCCATGGAAGGCGATAATGTCACTAAGCTGCAAGAGGTTAGTGGGAGTGAAAGAGAATGAGGAGAATTTTAAAGGAACCGGGTCCTCAATCCTAAACAGGAAACAAGGGATAAACCTTTACCTTTGTTCAAAAGACCGGGGAGAGTGTGAACCGGACGATAGGCAGATCTATCTATTTCTATTGTGTAGACAAAGACAAAAACTCCCAGTCCCTGCAGTCAGTGCCAGCTGAAAACGGCTATAAAGATCCATTAACGAGGATGAAGTCCCCAAAAAGGCGCACTAAGAAAAAAAGTAACTCGACTCTTGAACTTTTTGGTGTTAATATAATATCTACAACACGGGACCGTCCTAAGTATGACGATAAAGTACATCCGCGCCCTGGGTATGACACTAAACTACATCCGCGTCCTGGGTAAGACGATAAACTACGTCCAATAGCAACGCTTCTGATCAGGAGGTTTTGAGGATCGTGGAACCACATCTTAATTGCTGGTGTTCACAGGTCCACCCTGACCCGGAGTGGTAGTACCTGTTAGGGTCCCAACTATGGGTAAATAGTTAACCACCCAAAAAACTGGAGTCAAAACACTATAAAAGTGTAATATAGGTTTTAATACCAGAAATTCTTTGTAAAAAAATTATTACAAGCAATAAATTTTTGAAGAAAAATTATTACCAGCAATAGATTATTATCAGCAATAGATTATTACCAGCAATAGATTTTTGAAAAAACTATTACCAGCTATGCCATTTTTGAAAAAAATACTAGCTATAAAAATCTTGTCGGCATTAAATGACCCATTGAGGTTGGTATGCCGTAAAACAAAACAAACCAAACCAAACAACACAGGATCTTCGTATGACTATGAAATTTTTATTCCTTATTTTAAAGATCTGCACGTATCAAGCTTTAATTCAGACATTTTCCTAAATGATATATGTAAGGGAATAATGCATGTTTAACACAACATTACATGTACAGAAACCATAAAAAATGACTTTCTTTCGCACTGTAAAATGCGATTCAATATTTGCAAATTTGCTTTCACGTCTTTCATCAAAATATATTGATCTGTTGATGACTATAATTCTCTTTTCTTTTTAATCATTTATTAACGATTTTATAAAAGATCTTTAAGATATGTCTAATAGGGCTTACCTGCCAGGTCTACCATAAGTTATCTGACCGAGTGCCGGATAGGGACGCCGAGTGTTCTGCGCATATTCCGAGTGACGGCTGATCAAAATATTCCAGTCCTTGGACAGGATCACCCCCGTGAATGTGGACAACGCATAACTCACAAAGAGAACAGCTACACCACTCCATCCTGGTGGAAAAAAAATGATACTCACTCTTTGGAAATGGAAACAAAAAAAAATGTAAAGTTATCTGCATTCGACACATTATTTACATATCCTCATCTTTATTGTTAATATCACGACGTTTCGGTCATTTTGTCTTCCGATCTTCTTCAGATGTCTGTCAATCTCGGTAGCCTTCATGGAATTGTCTTTTCTGTATTGCTCAGTTATAATTAGTCGTGAAGAACTGGAACGAGAAATGAACGAACCGAATTCGAATTCATGTCGACTTCGTTATGTGAATCCATCTATTGTCCACCACCCCACCTCTATCCCAGCAGGGCAAACTGGGCTCTTTAACCTTGATTGGCAACCAGTCTAGAAGAAGGAAAAATCTAAATTCTAAACCCGTGGAAGGGTGTTTTGAAAGATAACGTGACACTGTGCACCGGTTCACTGTATTCAGTACTTCGGGAAAGTGTGGCTGGCTCTGCACAAATATACACCACTATAATCAACTCATATATGTGTGTACATCTTCCATTCTAGAAGTGAATTGTTGATATCTGATACATCGTGATTGACGAATGAGTCCTTACACATACAAACGTATATATATATATATATATATATATATATATATATATATATATATGTGTGTGTGTGTGTGTGTGTGTGTGTGTGTGTGTGTGCAGGTGTCCTATATATATATATATATATATATAAAAGAAATATGTTGTAGTGGTTCCAACGAGAGAAAAGTATGTATATTAAAAGAAGAGGGTGCCGCAAACGTTTTTGGTTGTAATGTGGATTTATTGAAAAAATATTATATTTTGTTTTACATAATTTCACGACACGTGTTTCTGGTCTGGTCTCGCAACCGTCTTCAGGTGAAAGTGGAGATTTTTACATATTATTAAAAATAATTAATTTTTCTTCATGTTCAATGTGGAATATTCTCGATATGAGACATTCTGTTTGTGTGTTGGCAATCCGAATTTTCTTTCTAGAATTGTCAATGAAGAGTTCTGCGTGAAGGGTCATAAAACAATTAAGGTTTGTCCAGCGAGTAGTTATCGGCATTTAATCTTTTAATGTTTTAGTGAACAAAGTATAATATTTTTTCTCAATAAATCCACATTACAACCAAAAACGTTTGCGGCACCCCTCTTCTTTTAATATATATATATATATATATATATATATATATATAGGAGAAAAGTGTATGCGAAACAGATCATGACGAAACCGCACGTCTCTCCGTCACAAATTAAACATTTCAAAATCAAAGATCTGTGAAACCAGTTACACTAAAGAGATATTCTTAGACTCAAGTTTCATTTTTAACTTCTTTTCCCTATATATTTTTACCCGTATGAGATATCTAAAAAATTACTTCTTATATATATATATATATATATATATATATATGGCGTGTACGTGTGTGTGTTTGTGCACGTTAAAGCTTAGAATACGCTTAAAATATAACATAAACTGAGGGGTCAATACCAAAGTGGGCAGAGGTTAGATATATTATTATAATACAATACGATTAAGATAATAATCAAAATGCACAAATCAAAGTTTCATGCGATAAAACAATCGTCAGGCGGATCAAATATATATATATATATATATAATCAAAATGACATATATATATATATATATATATATATATATATATATATATATGTGTGTGTGTGTGTGTGTGTGTGTGTATTTAATTATATGTGTTTAATATAACCTGATAAATATTTAAATATGACCTGATGGATATTTAAATATATATTTTAAATATTAATTCAGCCTGATTTTATCAAGGTGCATTATATATATATATATATATATATATATATATATATATATATATATATATATATATATATATATGTATGTATGTATGTATGTATGTATGTATATAATATATATATATATATATATAATATATATGTATATATATAATATATATAATATGTGTGTGTAATTAGTCAAACTGTTATAATATTTAAGCTGTTTAAAAATGAACGCCTCAAATATCTTAAAGCTTTAAATGTTTTATCATTCATTGTTCTTTTCTTTGTTTTTTGTATTTGCAGAAAATATGTTTCGAATAAAATTGTACATTGGTAGAAAAAGAATATACACTTCCAATTTCATCACAGAAATCCTTTTTAATAAATTTTTGAATCACGTTTAAGAAATAATGTTATCTTTGATGTTTTGGGAAAAGAGAAGATAACCATTTACCGGTGTCTTCCATCGCCTTTGGTAAAGTAATGAGTCCCGATCCAGCAATTTCAGCCACAATGAAGATACTGGCTGTTACGACAGTCAGACCTTGTCCTGGCTGAGGGGGAACCTGAATTGAAAATATAACGTTCTATGTCAATAAGAAAGAGTTAAACAAAGAAAATATGTAACAATGAAGGATTTTAAAATAAGTCTTATCATTCAGAAAAAAATGCTTTCCACGTTTCTATGCCAATAGTATAAAAAATTACAGCCAGAAATGCAATAAGGATTTTAAGGATAAAAAAACGAAAAGTTGAACGGGTTCAGGGGCTGTCTACCTCCCCGGACGAAACTTTGACTTTCGGCAAAGCCTCGTCTGGGTTCCTCTCCGCTCAAGGCAGAGAGTTCGAGAGATGACAATCTGGTCGACTGTTATATTTAACAGACCCCCCTCCCACGAGTGATGTATGTGTCACAAGGCCGAGTTTACCGTGGCTTCACCGAGCCCGTAGGCTCGGCCAAAAATATTCCCTTAGAACCCGCATAAACGGGTTCAGGGGCTGTCTACCTCCCCGGACGAAACTTTGCCCTTCGGCAAAGCCTCGTCTGGGCCCCTCTCTCCTCATGGCAGAGAGTTTGACAGTAATGAACAATCTGGTCGCCTGTTATATTTAACAGCCCCCCCCCCACAAGGAATGTATGTGGCACAAGGCTGAGTTTAACGTGGGTTTCTCCGAGCCCGTAGGTTCGGCCAAAAATATTCCCTTTGAACCCGCCTAGACGGGTTCAAGACCTGTTTACCTTCCCGGACGAGTTCCTCTCTGCCGGGGCAAAGAGTTCAACAGAAATTAACAGTCCGGTCGCCTGTTTCTCGAAGCCTTCTGTCCTACTAATTTTATAGTAGGTGGAAGAGTCTAACATAGACTCTTTAGAGGGAGGACACCACAACACTTAGAAAACTTCGCTCTACGAAAGGCACACAAATATCGACTTTACGTTTTTTACAGACTATTACAGCTCAATGTTCAGCGAAATAGGCGGAAGTCTTCATTCATCTAAAAAAATATAATTCAGAAAGACATTTTCAACGTTATATTTTTACTCAAATTCTACCACCGACTAAGTGGGCCCATGGCCAAGTGATTAAAAGGTTAGGTTCAAGTGCTACTATAAATGATTTGTCAAAGCGGTGACTTCTTGATAATATCAGCATGGGGGAAATGATCCCCAGCATGCGACACCATTGGAACAGCCAGAAAAGGATCCCAGCTGTTTGATCCAAGCCTTGTGAGTAGAATTACGTAGACGAATCTGTTCGGAAACCGTCGACGGTTGTACTAGCACAAAGCCACAAGTCATCGTGGCCGATGTTATGAATGTTCTGGCTTTGTTCAATAACTAATCACGCCAGATTATGCGTTCTCTCACAGAAACTCTAAGTAAGGTCTGCTTTGCATAGCCGCAGTGTACACCACGCGTTGGATCTATGGATGTTGAAATCACACACAAACATGCCTGAGCTGGCGTCCGCAACAGGAATTAATTAATCAACCTAGCAGGCTGGCATACTCGGAAAGTGGCAGCCAAGAATTACTTATTGTCACCTGGGAAGTAAGAAAGTCATTTTTATGAAATGCTACAGATAGATTACTCAATGGAAAAGAAAGAAAATTTAAATCTCTCGTTTTAAATTACACTGGTCAACACGATTTTTGGTGGCAAGAAACAAAATACGTTTTTAACTAATTTGATGGTACTGATTCCGAAAATGACCTTGGGTTTTATGGCTAGCTACCATTTTTTCTGTACTGAAATTGCTCATTTTTGGGAAAAAAAAGATCAATTTACGATCTTGGCTGATCGCAAAATTTAGTTAATAAAGGTCGTAGAAACCCATCAGTAATGAGGTAGGGCGAGCAATTTATGTATGCCACCTGAAATAAAATCTTTTTATAAGAAAAATTTTTTATTCAAAAATTTTAAAATAGAGGTACCGATTTTTTTTCCAATTTATCGCCAAAATTCAAATTAATTGATAAACTTTATCAGTAATACACTTTAGTAAACCTGATAATTAAAGTGACATAAGAAATAAAACCTTAAAGTCTTCCGTTTGATATTCATAAATTTATCCCATCACTTTTAACCCTTCACTGCGGAAGGAAACCAAGAACATTGAGAGCATTTTGTTTTAACAGTTAGAAAGAAACTCCAACTAAAGACATTCCAATTGAATGCACCTATTCCATTGTACTTGATATTGTTGGAGTATCAAAAGGGACTTAAATAACATTGAACATGACAGAAAATCAAGAAAGAACATTTTTACCATAGTTCTTATGTTCACAAAGGTTTTATTTCTGCTGTTAGTTTATTAAATGATTTGATGAAAATACTTGTTGGCCTTCGTATATTCAATCGTGTTATTTTTAGGGTCTGATTATTATTGCAAAAATAGTATTTCTCAACAAGCAGACCATTATTTATTGGTTTAAATATGAATTGAGAGATTTCTACGATTTTATATTGAGAAATATTGCCATCAGTCAATATCATATATACAAAAAGCAAATGAAAAAAATGCTTTTTTCCAAAAATGAGGCATTTCTGTACAGCAAAAACGATAGCTAACCAAGAAAAAGTAAGGTCATTTTAAGATTCAGCGCCCTCAAATTAGATAAAAACAAAAAAAGATGTTTGGTGTCTTAACACCATTTCAATTTTTATTTTTATTTTATTTTTTTTTTTTTTTTTGTTGACCACTGTTATTAATGTTTGCTTTACAGCCAATAATTCTTACTGATGTACTCTTTTTTTATTATTATTCTCTTTATACCTTCGTTTTTGTGTCTCCGTTATCTCTATGATAAAACTAAAACAACAGGTTTAAATTTTTACATCTATTTACTTGTTTAGCTTATATATTTGACAGGCGATCATCGTAAAAAATACTTGCGTTAAAAAATAAAAAAAAATTACGGATTACTAACCGATATCGAAAGATCGAGTAGAGGCGTTCTCTCTTCTATTTTCGTTGCTGTCATTTGTTCCTCCATTTTTACCTGATAAACAAGAAAAAATTAGTCCATATTGGCAAAAAGAATATCACGACATACGAACATTCAACAACAAAACAACTTATTTTGAACAAGCATGTAAACGCTCTAAAAATATATAAACTGATCAATATTTACACTATTTATATTCGGACGATTGTCCTTATCTTTTTTGTTGTTGTTATATTACAACGTTTCAGCTGTTGTACCCTCGGGCCTTCCTCAGGTGTATATCGACCTGTGTAAACTGGATTCTGAACTGAACCCTTTATTTAATCTTGTTCCACAGCACATCCCCTAGGAATATCGTATAGTTCTTATTTTTATTTAGTACTGTTCAGTTATTGCGCCCCCGTTTCACTGAGTGACCCGACCCAGGAATTGAACTCACAACCAAATTCAGAAACTAATGCTTCTACATTGTCTCGTAGGACAACTAAGAGCCTTAAACTTAAACTTATACTGATCAAATATTAAAAAGAACAATATAATGAGAGCTTTGTCTTCTTTGAAAACCATGACGTGTCATGCTTACACTGTTTATGCTAAATCTCAACCAATAATGAATGACGTGTATAATATGAATGGCAGAGAAGGTAATAGGAAATGAACACTATGAGGATACTGAAAATACATAACAATTGGCCTCTGACCTGAAGAGATCAAGATTGAGGTATTCCTGGAAGTACACCCTAGAGTCTGTTTCATAAAGTAACAGTTCTTTGGGGGGAAATGAGTGGAACTTTCTTCTTAGATCTGAAATATGGAGGAAATGAGGGTGATTCGATTTCTTGGACGTAGCATAGAGCTGTAAATGTCTGAACTGTTGGAACTAAAGAATAGTGTGCATCTGAACATTTTCCATGTAAATAGCGACAGACTAACGAAAGGGTTGCAGCGTTGCATCCGTGGGAAAGAGGCCTCAGGGTGGAGAATAAGTCCCCTCCTATAAGAGCTCGTAATCTAGTTTGAAAACTATCAAAGCTGCAAAGTGAATATTGCACCAGTCCAGCATTGACAGAATTATTCCCTTTTTGGTCTAATCTGACTCTTCCAAAGATAAAGCATTGCAGAAGTCAGATAATTCCTGATGAAATAGAATTTGTACACTTTTTCCCTACATCTTTAGCAGCGGATTGCATTTGACTTGAGACCTTGAGTAAACTTGAGACCCAAAGTATGTATTTTCACTGTTCGTCGTAACCGATGAAAACTTGTGTGGCGATATTTTAAGTGTAATTACGGGCTAGTTTAATCATTTCAGATCTAGTTATTTTTATCATCACTGCAAATATTAATTGATCTAAACCGATCTGGGCATTAGGCCAGATTTGTGGACCACTTAGCGAGTGACTGACGATGGCTTGTAAGATTACGATTGCCCTGCAACATATGATTTTATAATTCTTGTAGATATTTACTAAGCCCGTCTTAATGTTTTAAAACCCATTGTTTCATTAGCGGGACAGACCTTAAGACATATTATCTTATATATATATATATATATATATATATATATATATATATATATATATATATATATATATATATGAAGCTTACAACAAAGGGTGACACGATAATTCTCGAACTCTCTATACGAGCAAATGCTCTCCGAAACGATCTTATTTTCAGTTAAATTGACAATTCTTTTCAGTCTTATAAATATTTCCAAGAGTTATTCCAGTTATTCCAGGAATTATTCGATATCACCAGCATCTTGCCGAATGTTATATAGCCGCTGTTATTCAGACGAAAGAGAAAATTATAAGTTGTTTGGTATATGTTTCTAAATTTGTTGCTGTTTCAGTTTATATGCACACATATACACTAATACATACAGAGAAAGAGAAAGATAGACGGAATATATATATATATATATATATATATATATATATATATATATATATATATATATTGTTTTTTTGTATGAATAATTCATGAATTTGTAAATTAATTGCACCTTTATTGAAATTAAAATAACTGATCCAAATGCAACTTTTGGATAATAAGTGGGACATTACTGTAATTATTAAACAATAAAGTTCATGCCACTTTGACAAAAAATTTACCAGTAAAAAAGAATTCACTTATCACCATATTTGTATAAGAACGCACAATTGTAAAATTTAAATTCAAACTCAGCGTTGCGACAGCACGCTCCAAAAACAATAACTCATTTCTAATAGCATTTTCGGATTACAACAGTACATATATTTTCGTTGTCCTCTTATTACTGAGAGAAAAAAACAAGAACAAAATCTATTCCATACCTGAGGATGTCTGTATGAACAGACGAAAGCTTGTAAAAATAAGAACTCATGCAACAGAAATTTATAGAAACAAGGATCTTTTCATGCACAAACAGGTTCGGGGTTTTTGTATATTATTTGAATTGTTCGCGACGATGGATTTCTCGCCAATTAAATCATTAACCTTTGTATTTGTTTTTTTTGTATGAATAATTCATGAATTTGTAATATAATATATATATATATATATATATATATATATATATATATATATATATATATATACTGATGTAATGAATATGCATACACCTGAGTTCCCCCTGACAGTAATATGATTGTCTGGTGTCAACCATAGATACAGACTGATGTGGAGGTACATAACCTACGCCTATTGACTACGCCCATTGCCTAAGCCTATTGCCTACCACTACGACGAGGATCAGTCCATTACGGCTACCTGCTAGATTGTCCTACCCGGTTACAGTAGCCAAAACCACTTTGCTACTTCGAACAAATATATCCCTTTTCCGGGACATATATCACATACATACACAGAAAGGAAAAGATATATATCACATACATACACAGAAAGGAAAAGATATATATCACATACATACACAGAAAGGAAAAGATATATATCACATACATACACAGAAAGGAAAAAATATATATATATATATATATATATATATATATATATATATATATATATATATATATATATATATATATATACACTGATAAAAGATATGTATAAGTACAGATAAAAGCACGCCCACATAGAGATAGAAAAGAGCTTTTGAAAACTGTACATGCAAGCAAAATTTATTAGACATTAAAATTATAACATTTAGACACTTCAACATTCAGTTTGTTCGTTGATTAAAAAATGGCTTTGTATTCTTTTGTGCGCACGCGCGTTACATATTAATTCAATGTTATAGTTGGAACGCCAAAAATATTTTATTTTTGTTTATTGTTTTACAGTTTGTTTTATCTCCTTTTATTTTGCTTGTGATGAATTTTTCGGACGTTATAATCGGATACACAATTAATGCATCGCTTTTCAATGAAATAACACCGTTGTAATTATCAGAGACATTTTTGTCTCAAAGTGTGGGATAATGCCGGTTTTTACAGCGAATTATTTAAATTCATATGAGTTCATTTTTTTTAATCTCGAAACGGAACAAAATATTCTGCTTTTGTTTGCTTTCAAACAGCATTTGAAACATAACTAGAATTACGACTACAAAAAAAATTAAATCAAATGATTTACTGGTGTGTGACAATAACCAAAGCAAAGGAGAGAAAAAGGAACAGTTCTCCTTTCTCACTAATATATATATATATATATATATATATATATATATATATATATATATATATATTATTCAAAATATTTTTAAAATATTTTATCATCGCGACACGGATGTTTTGGAACTAAAATGTTTGTTCCATTTTCAAGAAATGTTGAATAACTTTAGAAAAAAATGATTTACTTTTGTAAGCGAAGTAGTATTATATTGAGGAGTTTACATGTAATATTACAAACTTTTTTATTTACGGCGTATATTTTTGACGGATCTAAATACAGATCTGAGTTAAAATTTGGAAAAATTAAAAAGTAAGTTATAGGTTGTGTGTGGGTATGTAATTCATGGTTGTCTAGAATTGTCTGTTGTGTCATAGACACGTCATTTTCCCTTTCTTTTGAACATTTATAAGATACATTTAAATTCAGAGTAATGCTTCTATCGAGCCATGGGTTATTTTGGCATTTCTTTAATTTATTTATTTTTTTAATACCTTATGTTCAAACAAATATTCGTACACATACACATTTTTAATTTATTGTATTTCCAACTAATGAATAAACATACTTTTCATATAATTAACAGATGCAAAATAACTAAATATGCATAGAAAACAAAAAAAATTGATTTAATAGAAATAAATATCATTTATCCATTTCTGTGATCTTTTGTTTGAAGGCATCGTCATCTTTCCTCCATGATGTTTAGAAATACGTCCAAACAACTCAATTTTTGCTTCGTCTGTCCATAAGACTCTTTCCCAATACGATTTTTCCTTATCCTTATGTTCACAAATGTATTTCAACCTGGCATTTTTTTCAATAGCAGTGGAGTTTTCCCAGGGGAGCGTGACTTTTTTTCTATGAATTACATTGCTTATTGTCTGTTTAGTGACAGATTCTTGATGAATGCAAATCATCTTGCAATACTTGACGAGTAACCATTGAATTTTGTTTAATTTGACACATTAATTTCGTGGAAGATCTCGAAGAAATCTTCCGTGGAACACCTGTTCTTCTTTTGTTTTCAACAGTTGTGAGTTTTTACACCTTTCAATGAATGAACTGATGGTAGTAAATTAAATATTCAGATTGTCTGAGATTTTCCTGTAGCTTTTACCTTCTTTCCAGAGCATAACAATCAGTTCTTTTAGCGAATTTGTCAATTGTTTACCTCTTGCCATGATGACAACCTTCTTGCACGAATATAAATTGCAGAATGTTCTGTCTGTATTTTTTAAGCTAAAAATAATTACTGATGACATTATTGGAAAATTCTAGAATATTTCACTTGAATAATCTAGAGTATTAAAGCAATTTAAAAGTCTTAAAATCTGAAATTTGCATTGTACGAATATTAAAAATTTATATGTGTACGAATATTTGTTACCCTCACTATATATATGTGTGTGTGCGTGTGTGTGTGTGTGTAATTC